CCTAGAGATAAAAAGTGACCTTTGCTAGTCATGCAGATCTGAAATCCCAATTTGCAATGGTAATCTCTTTATTCTTGGATTTGAACTTGTGCCCTGGCAACATCCTTTTGTGCCATTCAACCTCAAGCCCCAGAGAAAGATCCTATAGAGGGATCAGAAGTTTCACTATACAGACTGTGTTGGCCTGACCTTAGCCATCTGAGCTTAGCCATCTGAGGGATCCCAGGAAGTAAACTGAGCTGTGGTTGCTGATTGAGTTTTCCAGAAGTCACCTACTGGGCCACGCTACGCAACTACTCCCCAGAGACTTGGTTCAAGTCTCCCCAGCAGTGCTCAGGGAGATTGTACTCTATTCAGGAACATAAATGCCTGGTGGAATGTTGAGTTTCAAGGGCAAGCCAGAGCTGCAAGACCCAAGGGGCACTGAGGCAGCATTGGCCTCCCAGCTAGAGGCGGGGAACTGTGCTCAGTGGTCAGGCTTATACAGGCTGCTGTATCTCAGTCCTCTCTCTGATCAGATATCAGAGACTCCCTCCAATACAGCAGGTGAGAGCTGGAGTTGGAGGGAGTCCAAACAGAAGCCCAGGGAGGGAAGGGGCTTTTGGGCAGTGAGATAACCATCAAAGCTGGCATGGGGACTTATATCCAGGGCTAGTTCTCTCAGAGACCCCTTAAGGCTGTAGAGTTAGCGTGTAAGGCTTCTGCAGGTGAAATAGTTTAGTCTGTCTTTAGTTTTTATTTCACCCAGCATGCCTTATGTTGGGCCGGTGATGCAATAGGGACTGTGACCATCAGGATCCTAAGATTCTTGAGGTCCATGTTCTCAGTCCTCTCTTGAGGGCTTATTTCTTCTAAAGCAGGCTGGCACTAATGTGCCCCAGGACACAGGGCTCCCTGGGGCCTGGGCAGCAGGTGCCAGAGCAGAGCTGGGATCCCAGCCACAGCTGAGGACGGGCTAGCTAGGCTGCCTTCTAAGACATGTCTGTGTCCACTCTTGGACTGCAGCCGGGATTGGGGGGATGTTATGATTGTGGAAAGGCTTTCTGATGGGGCCTGTCATTCTGTCTTCCTGCTAGCCTTTCTTCCCTGGGCCCAGCACCCCCAGCCCGGGTTATGCAGACTGCCAGTGGAAGCACCCAAAAGGAATTCCTATGAGGCCTTCATGAGTACCAGTAGCCTGTAGCAAGTTCTCAACAGTGGGGCTTTGTGTAGCCTGAGTTTGATGTTTGGGTCTGATGGCAGCAGCTGCTGCTGCTTCTGCAGTCTTCCAACAGTCATTGGTTTCTCTCTAAGGAAACTCTGTTGTGTTCTTGTCTTCCGGAGTATAGTTTCAAATGTGATCTGTGCCAGACCTTTTCAGGGGGGACCTCTCTATATCTTCAGAGGTCTCCTCTCATCAGAGCCAAACGGCTGATTCCTATCTTAATTTAAACCCCTCATTTTCAGGTGTAGAAACTGAGGCACAGAGAGGTGAAGTGAGTTGCCCAAGGTCACCCACGTAGAAAGGGTTCTCCCTAACTTGGTGGCTCATGAACATCCCAATTTCTTTAAGTAAGGATGTCCCTTCCATCTTCCAGTCCACTAGGGCCAAATATCCAATACCATCCCTAACAGTAGCCCCATGTTTTCTGAGCTTGATCTCACCTGCCATTCCCAGACCTGCCATTCCCCCTCCTTTTGCTGAGTTCTAATTGGACACATTTGGCTGAAACAATAGGTAGGCCTCTGGTGTGTTTACCAATAGAGAGGACCATGCCTGCTTTGTCCAAAGTATTTGGCCTGCCATTATGGAAGGGCTCTTGGGAGTCAGAGAGTGGCATGCTTCTGGAAACTCCCACAGAAAGCTGACCAGCTCAGCCCTGTATTAGCTCAGGAAATCCCCCACCAAATCCCCACCCCCTAAGCATCTACAGGCTCCAGGCGCCTGCTAACCCTCTGAACCTCTAATGCCTCTAGAGCTGGTGGGGGGCATCTGCCCCCACAGCATCTTCCTGTTTGCCCAGCATGGCTTGGATTATTCCTGGGCTGGCCTCTCCTTGAGATCCTCCACACTTTCCTCAGCTCCAGGCTGAGGCTCCACTGTCAGGTAAAAACCGCTCAACCTCTCCCACCCTTCCAGATGATCCCTGGATAATTTATGCGGTAAATCCTCTTTAATCTTTAATCTAGGTTCCTGTCTCTCCTTCACAGCTTGGGTGGAGGTGGACAATGTCTGACATTCCATCTTGGAAGGTGTGGTGGGGGTATGGGCAATCAGTAACTTGGGACATTAGTAGGGGGTCAGTAACTTGGACACCAGCCGTATTCACTTCCCGAAAACCTGGCGGAATCTCGGAGGTAACTAATGGTTTCTCTCCAACTTGTGGGACAACCCCCTTCCTCTCTTTCCAAGGGCATCTCCTCCCGGGAGTGCCAGGTGGGCCATTCCTTTTTAGGGGGACAGGCTCAAGCCCCCGTGGTGCTGCGCCGCCTAAAGGGGCATCTCTAGGGGCTGGGAAGGAAGAACTAGGTGTCCCGTGCAGCCCTGCGTTGGGCGTCTCTCTGCACCCTGCGCCTCCGGGGGTCGCCGGCTGCACGGGCCCAGAGCCCCCGCGGCCGGCTCCCTGGAGGTGCAGGCCCCGCCCCGGGGTCGACTCGCCCCGCCCCGCCCCTGGGCCCCGCCCCCGACCGGTCCGCACTCGGGGCGGCGGGCGGGGGCCGGCGGTGAGGCGAGGTCGGCGCGCAGCTCGCGCGGCGGGTTGCTCGGGCGCTGTCCAGGTGGAGCCTGCCGGCTCGGGCTGCAGCCATGGTAAGGCGGCCGGTGGCGGGGCAGGGCCGGGGCGTGCAGGGCCCGCCGCTCCCGGGCGGCTCCGCGGGGACCGGCGGCGCCGGGGCCCCGGCCGTGCGGGTCCGGGGACGCTGTCGCCGGCCGCGGGCACGGGCGGGCGCTGCTGCCGGGCGGCGCTGCGTCGCCGCTCGCAAGTTTCTCCCTCCGCTCTGAGCGGCGACCCCGGGGGTGCTGCCCGAGTTCTTGGACCGAAGGGTGGGTCCGTGCCGACGGGGGAAAGGGGTGGCGCCCCTCCTAGTCAAGAGACGCGCGTGTTGTGCGGGGAGCGCGCGTCAGCGATGAGCAGAGGAGAAGGGTCCCGCCCTTGCCAGGGTCGGGGGTTACCTGGGTGACCCCTCCTAATCCACCAGCCGGGGTTTGGGAGCCAGCAACTTGCCTTGGAAAATAACACAGAGGCCCACAAAGACTGCCTGCCTCTCCAGGCGGGATGATGAGAGGCTTTGGCCTCTTTCCCACAGTCTGGCAAGTAGCAACCCTCTGAGCCCTGCCACAGCGCCCTCCGCCCAGGGGCCCCTGAGAGAAGAAAGCCAAGCCCATCATCCTGCCCAGCTAGATCCTTAAGCCTCTGAGGCAGGAAGCACAGAGAAGCTTCCTTCTGCTGCATCCTATAGTCCTCCCCCCTCCCCAGGTCCCTCTGCAGTGGTGGGGGTGGGGGGGAACTCATTCCTGCCACCTGCCTGCAGTGGAAGGAGAAACAGTATCCCCAGGCTGCAGCTAGTCTCCCTGGAGGCCCCCAGGTAGGAAGTTTTGATGTTTGGTGATGAGAATGCCAGTTCTTCTGCCATTGTTGCCAGACCCTGCCACAAACACACTGTGCTCGTTTTAGGGCCCCTGGGCCCCACGCTGGCTTCTCCTTCCAGTCTAGAAGCCCCCTGGTCTTTGCCCTCTGCATTGGGAAGCACAGGCTGTTTACAGCAGAAGACCAGTGACCAGCCTGTGGGGCAGGATGTTGGCTGTGGGCAGCCTCCAGAAGGGAACCCCCTGGGTCCCGTGGAGTCAGAAGCTTCCAGGTCTGAAAAGGCCAACTTTGTGGGCTCTTGTCTCTCAAGCTGTGACCAGGCAGAGACCCAAGTCTTGGCCAGGAAGTCTTGGTGACCCTGGACCTTCCCCAAAGGGAGATTCCTGGGAGAGGCCAAGCAATGCCTGCCTTTATTTCTGCCTCCCTCCTGCTCACCACATGGGGATGGACAGACTGTTCCAGGGATGGAAGCCTGTGGACTTGGGGGGGCACTGATTTTCTTCAGTACCAAACCCAGCAGGGGCCAAGAGGGGCTTTTTCTGCCACATACTAAGTTCAGTTCAGCTGAGGTCTTGGTGCTTTCCACTTGGCTGAGGCCACCCTGCTCCTTTCTAGTGAAAGACATCCCAACACCACCAGAGTCCTCAGCCTCAGGCTTCTATCCTGCTATGCAGGTCTCTGTGACCCAGCTGCAGTATCCCAGCTGCTTTGGAGATCAGCGGGAGAGCTCCCCAGCCCAGGAGCCCCAGGGGGGTTTAATTTGCATGGGAAAAGAATGACAGGCCAACATCAACAACCATCCTGTGGCTTAAGATGCACCTTCTCTCCTCAGATTCAATGCAGTTTGAGGTATCTGTCATCTGGAGTGCTTTCTCTCCTTAGCCTTCCTGGGACACAAGGGCTATCACAACTGGACTTTAAGTCCCCGCAATTAAGATACTCTTCACAATCACAAAGAGTGTTTCTGGCCAAACCAGAAATACTGGCCTTCTGACTCCCAGTTAAGTGCTCCATTTGCACACTTCCAGCCATACACCTCAATTTGTCTGCCCCCTAATGGGCAGCTTTGAAGCCTCTGAGATGTCAGCCTCCCATTGTCCTAAACCATTGCCCCTCAGAGACCAAGTCTTAGCTGCTCCCCCACTGACTGTCTAGGAGTAGTGTGGTGATGGAAGTGATACAGGTCCCCATGAGTCAGAGGCCAGGTATAACCTGAGTCAACTCTGTCCCTCTATGGCTGGGCTCTCTGCAGGTAAATCTATGTGTAGGGTTATGAAGACAGTGGGATTCTCTGTTTTGGCAGAAAGGTGAGGCCATTCCCATGAGAACCTTTCCCAGGGGATTAGAAGACATCCCACCATTCTTCAGCACTGCTTAAAGTTAAGGTGAAAGAAAGATTGGAATCCTTTGGTAGTGGAGTCTTCTGGGTGGTTGTCACCATGTGCTCATAGGCCAGGTCACCTTGGGGACAGCCCACAACCCTTAGACCTCAGTGTCCTTGGGAGTTAACAGGAGAGACCAAGTAGATGAAGAGCCTGTGCTGCAGACAGACAGGAGGCTGGTGCTGTGCCCACCAGGGTAGGCAGCGGGCAGCGTCATGGGGCAGCCAATCAGAGGAGGAGGGGACTGCAGAGAAACCAGTGATCCTGCTGCAGCTGAGCTGTCCTTGGAGGGTGGGAGCCAAGGGAAGGGGGGGGGGGAGAGTGCAGGGAAGGACATTCCACAGGCTTTTTTGGCCCCTGACAGAGACATGGGTCAGAGAGAAAGGGAAAAGAGCAATCCAGGAAGCCGGATTACAACAAGAGCACCAAGACCACACTGTTTCTGTGTGTGAGGAACTTTGGGAGATAAAATTAGACCTAGGGCTTGCCGACAGGGAGTCTGAAGCTTGGGACATGGACCATCCACTGCGATTGCAAGGCAGTTCTGTCCCTGAGGACAGGACTGAAGCTGGGGTAAGGTGCTGCTCTGGGAGGTGGGTGGACGTGACCTGTCTTCTCCCTGCTTTGGCTGGGATCAGGCTCAAAGTCAGAAAATCATTTGGTCACTGGCCCAGCTATGGGCTAGGAAGGGATAGACAGGAGGTGACAACCCTGGTTTCCTGACTTCTTGTCTAGAGGCCCTGGAGCCCTTTCCATGCTGTGAGCAGCCAAGGCTGGCAGAGAGAATGGTGCTGGGTTCCTAGTTGCTCTGCTGGGAGATGGTGGGAGCTTGGGGTCTCCATCAACACCTTTTCTTCTTGCTGAACCTCTGCTTAATGTCCCTGGGAAATTAGGCGGAGCACAGTTTTCTCTCTCCTACACTTAGCCTGACCTCCAGATCAGTGCTGGGTCACTATGGGGTTGTGTAGAGAGGCAGGATTTCCTGGAATTTCCCAGACTCTTTAGCTACCAGAAAACAAGACCTGTTGTCCCCACCCCTCCAGCTTCATCCCTTCTCCATTGCCACATAATTAATCATCCAAGCTAGGACACTTGTGAGTGCAAAGGACATAGTCATTATGCTAGCACAACAAACATAAACTGGGATTATGATCACCCCTCTGGACCCCACAAATATGTGTGAGAAAAGCCTGTTAGGTCAGGCTTGCCTCAGGACAGCTTCTGGTCACTAAATCTGCAATACTGGTTCTAGTTTCAGGCTAAAGGACTTTTTTTTTTTTAAAAGATATGCATACAAGAACTGGGGTACAGGCCAGCGGTATGGGGGCTGAGAGGATTCACTAGAGACAGAGTGGGGAACAGAACAGGCAGACTGACTGAAATATACTGCAGAGGGGAGCAGCGGGTGAGACAGGAGAGGTCTGCTACACCATGTGGGTCACCTTCCTGACCGGTTGAGGATCGAACTCATGGTGCTTTGACTGCAGATAGCTTCACAGTGTTGTGCTTAACCCCTTGTGCCACCAGGGAGTCCCTAAAGGGCTTTTTTTTTTTTTGCTGCATCGCGTCCAGGTGAGCCCTGGAGATGATTATAAGCAGGTGTGGGGACTTGATAACTCTTAGGGGGACTTTTCCCTCTAGCTTCCCTGTCTTAATCCCTTCTCTCTGGCAGAAACCTGGCAGTGTGCTAGTCCTTCCCTGCAAAAAAAATAGGAACCTGCTGGGAGACTGTGGCTATCTTATCTCCCCCTCAATGCTGGCTGGGATTCCACAGTGAATTGGGGTAGCCGCCATTCCTCTACCAATCCCCAGAGGGAGAGTCAGCTATGATGCCAGGCCTTGTCCATTGTCTGGGGGTGGCACGTGGGTATTGTGAGGCCGAGCTGAGCCCAGCACTGCCAGGCACTCCACAAAGGGGGCTGGCCCTTGAAAGAGAGAAGAAGCTATAGGGTTTAGAGCTGAGGGTGAGCAGCCTCTCTTCTATGCTAGAATTAGGGTGGAACAGTTATTTACAGAAGAGCCAACAATTCTCTGCTTCCTACTCCCTAAACCCTCTCTGCACTGCTGCCTGAAGTTTAGTTCCAGGCCTAGGGGGCAAGGTGCAGCTGAAGGGTCCTTCCCTCTGTCCTGTGCAGTTGGGGGCCCAGCCATCCTTTGAGCCTCCCTGAATTCTTCCAGAGCAAATGTACTTCCATCCTCCCTTATCTGGTTCCTCCCAGCTCCCCTCTACCCAAATATAGGCAGGTTTACCTTCCTCTCCTGAGACCCAGGGTCTGGCTCTGGTGTGACTCAGTGTCTGGAATAAATGGGAGTCAGGGTATACTGAGCTTTGGGCAGCGAGCACTCCCAGTAGTGTCTGCCCCTTAGTCCCAGAGCTCACTGACCTGCAGTGACAGGTGGCACAGAGCCCCTGCTAACTCTCAATTTACCTGGGTCTGGAACTCCCTCCCCCTTCTCAACTCCCCTCCAACCCCTGCCCCATTCTGACTCTCCTTCTCTGATGCCTGAGCCACATTCTCCTCTCAGCTCTAATGCCTATCTGCTCCCCCTTATTCAGTCTGACTTCCTTTGGGGCAGTCCCCAGCTAGCTTGACCAGACCCCTAGGTAGAATAGTCTCAACAAGCCCCTGTAGAGAGGGAGCATCAGGACCAGAACCACTCAGTTCCCAAGAGTGGTTGCCAGGACTTTAGGGGCTGCTCAGGGCTGCTCCTGGACCCTGGGGCCCCTCCTGACATCTTGAACTGAGGAGGCTAGTGAGTAGGTGAGGGAGGGATGGCGAACACTTGCTCCAGCTTGACTGCTAGTGCAGTTTCTTTCCCTTCTAACCCCAGCGCTTTCCTCTCTTTCCCTCTTGCCTTCTCCTGTCTTCCTCCTTTTTCTTCCCTTCCACCCACCTACCCATACACCCCCCCGAATCCTCAACCCCCAGATCAAGCACTTCCTGGAGGACACCGATGATGCAGAACTGAACAAGTTTGTGAAGGATTTCCCAGGAAGCGAGAGCTGCCACCAACCAGAGGCCAAGACCTGGGGGTCCAGACCCCAAATCCTGGAACCAAGGCCCCAGGCCCCGGACCTCTGCCAGGATGACCTGGAGTTCAGACCCCCCTCGTGGCCCCAGTCCTCTGACAACCAGCAGAGCTCTGCCCCAGCCCCTCTCAGCCCTTCAGCCCGGCCCCGCAGTCCATGGGGCAAGCTCGATCCTTATGACTCCTCTGAGGTAGAGCCTCAGTCCTGCCTTTACCTTTCAGTAGCCTGGTGCAAGAAGACCCAGGGAGGGAACAGAGAGAGCCTGAGTGGTGTGCGTGTGTGTGTGTGTGCGTGCACATGTGTGCATGCGTGCATGCACAGGTACCTGTGTCAGTCCCCAGGTACATTGGAAACTGATGTTATCAGCAGGGGCCTGAGCCTTGCTGGTGGTAGATGGGGCCTCAAAGGAGTTTGGCACTGCAGCTCTAAGACTGGGGCAAGGCCTAGGAGGGAGGGAGAAGCTGGTGTTGAGTTCTGAGGCCATCCCTCTCACCTTGATGCACTCTGCCTTCAACCCACTAGGATGACAAGGAGTACGTGGGCTTTGCAACTCTCCCCAATCAAGTCCACCGAAAGTCCGTGAAGAAAGGCTTTGACTTTACCCTCATGGTGGCAGGTACAACAGGGGCAGGACTGGGCTGGACTGGGCAGGAGGTGTTTTATGTGGAGATGGTATGTTTGTGGGAAGAGAATATGGTTTGGGGAGGAAAAAGCAACAAGTGGCTGTGTCTTTTTGCAGAATAGCCAGGAGCCATTAGTTGTCTTAATGTTTACATATATAGGGTAATGAAGTTGTGCAAAGAACACCTGACCAATACTTTCCTAGTATTTCCCTTTATGACCCCAGACACTCTCTCACACTTGCCAGGCCTCATTCAAATGACATGGCTGGATAAACTGTTCTCTGTATTTCCTTCCAGCTCTAAATGTTTGGTGACTCTCTTCCCAACTAGATAAGAAAGCAGCTCCTCCATCCCACTCCACCCCACCCCACCACACCCCACCCCACACTGCCCACCTTGGTCTAGTGGAGTTGCTGCTAGGCTATAGATTTATCTTTTGATTTGGTTGCCTCTGTCCTCTCTCCCCTGTCAGGAGAGTCTGGCCTGGGGAAATCAACCCTTGTCAACAGCCTCTTCCTCACTGATCTGTACCGGGACCGGAAACTCCTCAGTGCTGAAGGTAAGGAAAGGAGAGGAACAAGAGGGCAGGCAGGCAGGCAGACTTGATTTGGGAAATCAAACTTTCTTCAGAGTCTGGGCGTGGGGACTCCCTAGCATGCAGGAAACTGTGGCTTCCTAGACAGACAGCATCTCTTCATAGGCCTATCTGGCCTGGCAGCCCACCAGCCAGCTCCCTAAAGATTTGGGTGCTGAAGCAAGGCAGGGACCAGAATCCTACTCTCTGAGTGAGTCTCTGACCCCCAAAGGATTTCAGGAATCCAAGAAAAGAGCCGAGAGCAGAGAAGAGGCTGGGGCCAGAGCCAACAGCCACCGGCATTTCCTGTGTTGGGAAATGTGCTCCTTGCTAGTTCCCAGAGAACAGGCCCCCAGGCAGCTTGGGGGCAAGAAGGGGGGGGCAGTGTGGATGAGTGAGGCAGTCTGGGCAGCAAAGCTGGTCGGGGTGGGTGGTTTGTCCTGACTGGGCAGGTCCTTGCCCTTGCCCTGGCCTCAGTTTCCCCCTTCTTCAGAGCGGATCACACAAACGGTGGAGATCACTAAACACGCAGTGGACATAGAAGAGAAGGGAGTGAGACTCCGGCTCACCATCGTGGACACACCAGGTTTCGGGGATGCGGTCAACAACACAGAGTGGTATGTCTGCCCAAGCACAGCCTCATCCCTCCAACCCCCTATTCCATATACAGGTGCACACATAGGCGTAGACATTTCCAGAACTGCCAGGAGGAAGAGATTTGTGACCTTGAGCTTGTCACTCCCCCTTACTGGACAGCTGTTTCCTCTGTGAGAGGGAAAGCATTGGAATAGATGGAATAGACAATCTCGACTGTTCCTTCTGGCTCTGGGGATGAGGACGCAGATAAGAACAAAGGGCATCAAAAAAGGGAACATGAAAATACATACCACAGGGCCTGACTCATAGTAAGTGGTCAATAAATGTCATCTTCTCTCCTTCCTGTCTTTTCACCCAAAACATGTTAGGGGTGTCTTATTAAAGGGTTATGAGTATATGGCAGGTGGGGTGAATAGGAAGAAAGAAACAACAAAGGGAAAAAGGGGTTTGCTTAAACTTTGCTTGAACTCCAGGGACCCTCACATGATCAGCCAAAAGAAAAGGTGGCTTTGCTATCCCTGACTTTTACCCTTCAGGAACTGGAGGGATGTTTAGATTATGGTCGACCTAAGTTGAGTAGACTAGGAGGAAAATAGATGATAAAGAAGGGAGAAAAGTTGGGCAGAGTGGTACTAAAATTCAAACCTTAATCAGCACTCAGTAGCTATGTGATCTTGAGCAAATGACGGTGTTATTTCTTCAGTTGAAAAATAACAGCCTTTACCACCTCACCCAGTTGATCTGAAAATCACCCAGTATGATTTGGGTAGATGTACACAGAAAACTAGAAAGGCTATTTCCATTACACTTAAAGTTTTTTTTTTTTTAAAGATTTATTTTTTATTTATACGAGAGCTGGGGTACAGGCCAGTGATCCAGAGAGTGAGAGGATTCACCAGATACAGAGTGGGGAACAGAACAGGCAGACTGATGAAATACACTGTTGAGGGGAGCAGCGGGTGAGACAGAAAAGGTCTGCTAGCCATGTGGGTTGCTCTAAGGCCAGCGGGGATCAAACCGGCACTGCAGAGGCTGCGGACAGCTTCGCAGTGCTGCGCTCAACCACCTGTGCCGCCAGGGAGGCCCCTACACGTAAAGTTTTAAGATAAGAACCACAGGACAATGCATAATAAAAATGGGGGAACCCCTTATTTAAAATTATTAGAATTTTAAGACCTTCACAGCAAAGACCCTAAGTGTAGAATCCCTGCACGGGTGGCACGCCCATGAAGCTGACCCTGGGTAATTGCTTCACATTAGACCCTTACATACCTTTCTGTGCTCTGAACCCCCATTACATGTTTATCAGATAACATGTGACTTTTAGCTCAGCATACTGGTTCATCTTCATAGTCTAAGACTTGTGTGTGTGGGAAGGCATCTTTGACATTCTTGCCCCTGCATTGTGCTACTACATGGTACATGTTCTCCATTAATATTCTTGATGGATCGAGGTAGCCTCCATGTCATTCATCATCACCCTTCCTGTTCTGGGACTATGTCTCAGCAAACTGGACTTGCCCTGAAACTCTAGACCAACCAGCACCTGGTTCCCACTGTGGCAAGTACCACTTCCCCACCCCTTTCAGTCTATCTACTTGCCTTTCATAACCACCACACTTGCATTTGGTTGGCACCTCACAGTTTACAGTTCGCTCTCATATGTACTCATTTAATCAACTGGCAAGACTCTATTGAGCACATACTAGGTATGTAGTCTGTGCTGGATATTTTAAGGGCTGCAGAACAAGTATGTATGATCTTCGTTCCCGAGAGGCTAACTGTCTAGTGGCAGTGAGTTGGGAGTGGGGGACAGCTGTTCTTTGACATGTGTGTCAATCACGCAAAAAGTTAGCAAACAGATGAGGCAGTGTAGTGGCAAATATGGAGCTAGCAATCAGATAGCCTCAGGTGGCCAAACTGATCTGGATTAAGTCCCACTGTTCTGGATTTAGGTTTTACATGTATAAAGTGAGAGTGATAATGCTCATAATGTCCAATTATCAGGACACCAAGATTAAAATAGATAATTAAAATATATATATATACATGAAAGTGTGTTCAAGATCTATGTATATATAAGAATCTCAGTTTTCAAATCTGTCTCATTGATTACCTACCTACCTACCTACCTACCTACCTACCTGACTATGTGGTGAAGAGAAAGGAAGAGCTTTAGACCTCAGTATAGTCAATCCCTTGCGGAAGAGATGGTTTTTGAGTATGGCCTTGAAGGATGGGAGTAGGTCTGAGGAGGGTGGAGCCGCATGAACAAAGGCCCCGAGGCTGGGAACCTGACTCAGGGCTGCCCTCGCTTCTAGGGTGTTCCCTTGTACTTTGCTACTTATTGCTTTGTTTGGTCCCTGGCCCTTTTCTGTTCATCAGACATAGTCTGGCTTTTATCAGGGCAGGTGTGATGCACCCCGGCCCATGCTGAAGATATAGTAAAGCAAGTTGGGGATAACAGTGTCTTGAAAACACTGCTCAGGGTACGGGCTACTTCTCTGCCATCCCAGAGCTCACCAGACAGCCCCCACTCCCAGTTTCTCTGCTTGTCTGTCCCTGACCCAGCTGGAAGCCTGTAGCAGAATACATTGACCAGCAGTTCGAGCAGTATTTCCGAGACGAGAGCGGCCTAAACCGCAAGAACATCCAAGACAACAGGGTGCATTGCTGCCTGTACTTCATCTCGCCCTTCGGCCACGGGTATGGTCTGAGCCTGAGGCTCCTGACACCACCAGGTGCTGCCAAGGGAGCAGGCCGAGAGCATCAGGGGCAGGCTGCCACTAGCCCGTAGTCACAGATTCCTGTTCCCCAGGCTCCGGCCACTGGATGTTGAATTCATGAAGGCCCTGCATCAACGGGTCAACATCGTGCCGATCTTGGCTAAGGCGGATACACTGACACCTCCTGAAGTGGAACGCAAGAAACGCAAAGTGAGGGAAGCTCATAGTGGGGAGGGAGGGAAGGGAGCAGATGGGCTTCTGGAAAGGATGGGGTCCCCAGAACTGTGGGCCCCTCATGTGTTTGCCAGATCCGGGAGGAGATTGAGCTCTTTGGAATCAAGGTCTACCAGTTCCCAGACTGTGACTCTGATGAGGATGAGGACTTCAAATTACAGGACCAAGCCCTAAAGGTGGGGCCACCCGAGGGCATCCCTCTCCTATCTTGTTCCTTCTGGGCAGAAGAGGGAAGCAAAATTCTATTTGAGGCTGGGCTATGGGGTGGGAGAAGAGCCTGGCTTCCTAGATTGAAGTAGAGAAGATTAAAGATACTGGTGGAAATGAACAAGTGAGAATTGGGGGTGCTGACAAGCACCCCTAACTTCTTCCAGGAAAGCATCCCATTTGCTGTAATTGGCAGCAACACTGTGGTAGAGGCCAGAGGGCGGCGAGTTCGGGGCCGGCTCTACCCCTGGGGCATCGTGGAAGGTAAAACACTGAGCTTCTGACTGGGGTATCTTGTAGCCCTAAGTGACTCTCCCTACCTGTGCTCCTGGCTGACTCCTAGCCTTACTATGCAGTGGAAAACCCAGGGCACTGCGACTTTGTGAAGCTGAGGACAATGCTGGTGCGTACTCACATGCAGGACCTGAAGGATGTGACTCGGGAGACCCATTATGAGAACTACCGGGCACAGTGCATCCAGAGCATGACCCGCCTGGTGGTGAAGGAACGGAATCGCAAGTATGGTCAGAAGCCAGGACAGAGCTGGCAGTGGTGGTGGTGGTGGTGGAATCCCAAGCATAACCTTGGGTGAGATCAAGCCCTTCCTTTGTTCTATAGGCTCTGGGCTTAATCCAAGCAGGTGCTGGGGTCCCCCTGGCCTTACCACCCCTCCCTTTCCCCTTCCCCTCAGCAAACTGACTCGAGAGAGTGGTACCGACTTCCCTATCCCTGCTGTCCCACCAGGGACAGATCCAGAAACTGAGAGGCTGATCCGAGAGAAAGATGAGGAGGTGAGAACAGTATGGGGTAGTAGGGTTTACAGTCTAGAAGGCCCCTGTTTGATCATCTTTGGTATCTCCTGGTTTGGAAATAGGAAGCCCCTTGGCCCTGGTGCATATTTAGGCCCTTTGGTGGATTACTGGTTCTACCCAGGGTCTCCATCATATCTTAGGGCTATCAAGGCCCTTCTCAAGGGATTAGAGCTTGGGGGCACTTCCTTAACATTATAGGACTTACAGAAAGGGCTTATTTTAACACATGTGCCTGTTCCAGTTGCGGCGGATGCAGGAGATGCTACACAAAATCCAAAGACAGATGAAGGAGACCCATTAGCTGGCTTTCAGCCCTGGATATTTAAATATTTTGTTCATCCTGCCCATGCCGGCCCCTCCCAGCACCAGCTCTGCTCAGGCCCCAGTAGCTACTGCCACTTCGCCTTACATCCCTGCTGCCTCCCCAGAGACTCAGAGGAAATAAAGTCTAACAAATATATAGGTGGCTTCTGGTGTCACTGTATCTTTACCATCTCCTGGAGACCAAGAAGATCCTAGAACCCAGTTTTAAAATGCTGCTGGAGGAGGGCGCTGGTTTCTGGCTTTTAGTAGGGAAGGAAGAGTGGGGGGAAAGTTTCTCCTCCCATGACAGGGTTCAGTCCCTCACTCAAATCTAGCCTGTCCTCTCCATCTCACCAGATTAATCATGCCTGTATTATCTAGGCTTGAACCTCTCTTCATCTTTCCCACATACAATACTTTCAACTCTATAGCACTTTGGATCTGATATCTGCCTTTGGGAAAACATGGTATTAGCTGTATACAGTCTCCTGACTTCCTGTTTCCCGACTTGGGGAAATGGATGTGCAGAATTAAGCTCTTCACTCTAGGAAACCTGTGCTAGAGCATGAACAAATACTGAAGTCCTTGTAATCACCAAACACTATAGTAAATTCTGGAAATGAATACAGTTCAATAATTGTCTGGGAGCAGGTCAACATTCATTTCACAAATATTAAACATCTGCTAGGTTCTAGACTCTGACTTAAAACAGTGAATACAGGCAAGGTTCCTGCCTTCCCAGAGCGAACTGTGGTAAAACTTTCAGTCCTCTCTAAACAGAGATACGGAATACACCTTAGCGCTGGGGCCTGCTGTTAAAAGCATTCCGGCCCACTCCCGAACGGAGGCTAAGGGTAAAGAATGAGTCAATCGTTCACCATTTTTGTCGCGTTGGTGCTATCGCGGGGCCACGGCGCCCCCCAGCGGCTACCCTCCAACCTGCTGCCTGCCTCGACGCCCGAGCCGGGAGAGGATGGGAGGAGCCAAGAGCCGGGTCCTGCAGAAAGCCCCATTCCTTACTCCCCTTACAGCCTAGGGAAAGCCAGTATTTAATCCAGGTTTTCTATTTCTCAGGCAGGCGATCTTTAGGGCTGAGGGCACCGTACGGGTCAAGCAGGCCTGCAGGGTCGGTTCGCCGATGAAAAGAGGGTTGGAGAATCCGTCAAGGCGTACAAGAGGGGGGAACCCTCACACCACCAATCGAAGACCGAGACGGCCTCTCGCCCAGTTCTCCCGCTCTCTTTGGGTCTTTTTTCTCATTCTGGCTTCGGGACGGGAAGACTGCGGCTAAGCAAAACGGGAAAATGGATGAACTGCGGCGATACCAGGGCGATGTAGCCCTAAGGCCCCGTCGTCACCGGAAGTGGCTGGGAGGCCCGTGTCCCAGCTAGGCCCCGCCTCCAATTGCGCTACCAGTAGGCGACGGGCCGCTCCAACTTCCGGCCCCTGGAGCCTTAATCAGCAGCCCCTCTTTTGCAGCTCACCATTGGCTGCCGCAGGGACGCGCTGTGATTTCCCATTGGTCGCATCTTTTCTCCGGCGCTGCACCTCCTCTCTCCAGTTACAGTGTCGTCTTCTGGCACCCGATAGGCCAAAGGCAGGGAAGGCGTCTGCCCTTCTTGGCCAATGAGCGGTGTGAAGAGTGAGGGCGGCGGCTGCGTGGTGGGGGCAGGGCGGGACTTGGTGTGGCTATTGGCCAGGGCGGGCGCAGAACTGAGCTACGATTGGTTGGGGAGAGGGGCGCCGTGGTGGGGTCGAAGCTGAGCGGCCTCAGCAGCTGCGGGAGACGGAAGTGGTGAGAGCGCGGCCTCGGAGGGTCGGGCCTCGGACGCCGCCTGGGTGAGTCACCGTGCCCCGTGCACTGCCAGTCTAGGAACCGCAAGGACAGCGTCTGGCCCGGCCCCGCCCCGGCCCCACCGACTTTCGTGAGCCACGCCCTCTGTCATTCGGAGCTCCGCCTCTGAGCCTTTAGGCTCCGCCCCTAGAACCTGGGCTCCCCTGCCATCCTAGCCCGCCCCCCTTCCCTTACCTCTGGGGCCAGATTCCCTAGGTCTGGGAACCGCGGGCCTCCCGGGCCTGGTCCTTATCTCTTTCGCTCCCTTCCGCGGTTTCCCTGAGGCTGTGTGCCAGTGGGCGGTGAGGCAGCACCTCTGGCTTGCCGCATGCTGGTTTCCCGTGAGAGAGGGTGGGCTGTGACCAGGGAGGCCGGCAGGACCACAGATGGAAGCGTTTATTCTCACAGTCTTCCTTGCTGTACTGCCCCTGAGCTCAAGCAGCAGGCATGAAAGGAACTGTCAATGAAATCTGGGCCTGACTCTCTTAAGTAGCTTTCAAAGTGGGCCAAGGAGGCCCATCCTGAAATTTCTGTGGCTTTGGGTCCATTTGACAGATACTGATGCCAAGGCCTGGGCAGGCCTGATTCTATCCCTGTTGTGGAGCCTCCTCCCACTATTCTCCACCCTACTGGGTGTCAAGTACACTCTGCAGGACCTGTGCAGCTTTGCTGCCTTCTGATCACAGGTTGTGGTCCCCTCCCTCTTGTCCTCTGCTCCGGACTCTGTCCCCAGTAAACAGGTCAGGTGGGTGCTACTCCCAGACCTAGACATTTGGAGAGCATTCCTGTGGATTCATGTCCCCATGAGGGCCAGAAGTGAGTCCTGGCTGGGCAGCCTGTCTCTTCAGAGTGGCAGTTCTTTTGCTCTCCCACAAAGAATTGGGTTTGTAGTGTTCTCCTCCTAGGTCTCCTTCCGGACTTCTGAATTTTGCTGGGTAATCTTGGATGACACTCATTCCTGTTCCAGAACATTGTGGCTGACTTCATGCCCTATAGGATCACTTGTTGCTTTCTCTCCATGTGGCTCTCATTCCCTCTCTCTGGCATGGTGACTTGTGGAGAGGCTGGATTCTCTGTGAAGGAGGAGGATAAGCAGTATAGAGAAGTTCAGGAGTAGGTGTGTGACATTTGCTGATCCTATGTATGTTAGTATTACTCTTTACTCTGATGTTTCTCTCTCTTTACAGTGAGAAGCAGGCAGCCAGGACCCTCACCACGGTAGAATGGTGAGTACTCTCTTCCCTCAAATCATTGTGTTTTCTGTCATTCTCGTGACTTTCATTGTGAAACTGCTCTGCCATTCCTGGACCTTGAGCACCGGACAACTCTGTTCAGCTCCTAGACAGTTCATCTGCCCTGAACATAAATTAGGTTTTTTTTTTTAGGTTGTAAAACATCAGTCAGCATACAGCATTGGGACAGGAAATGTTTGGAAGTCTTCTGCTTGTGCTATGATGCCTTCTCTCCCTACTACTGATTTTCTCAGTCCTTCATAATGGTGCTCTTCTTGCTTTTCTTGGGTCCCTGCTATTAGTTATCTGTTCTGGTCTGAAAAGTCTGGCCTCCTTTTTCTCAAGATCCTTGTACTTCCTAGTGGGCTTCTTGAATATTGTGGCTGCTGTATCAAGTGACTGCCAAAACTATGAGCCTTCTCCAGCTGCAGCTCAGGAGCTGCTGTCCATTAAGGTATTGCTGACGATATCTGACTGCATATAGCAGGATAGTACTCTCAATGGGCCCAGAATATTACTGGAAGGAAGTTGGGGGTGTATAATGATCCTGTATATTTTCTATTAATTGTAATTGCCCTTTTCTCATCTCTCCTCAGGGAACCCCTTAACCTCTGAAAGCTAGGAGGAGGAAGCAGTGAGTTGAGAATTAGTGCGGAACTGCAGGCCTGGGCCCAGACCAGGTCCTTTCTCAGACTGTATCTATTTCATTCATGCAGGTGTTCCTTATGGTTAGGGACAGCTCAAGGAATTCAGATAGTGAGGATACTCTCCTTCCTCTTCTTCCTCCACATGTGGGTATGTGGTGTGAATTACTATTCTCTTTTCAGAAAGTCTGCTGGTCCTAGTCACTACCTACTGATAACAACTCTCTCTTTTCATGTCTGTGTACCTTGAAAAGACCATGGGCTACAGAGTCAGCCTGGTCTAATTTCAAATCTTAGCACGAACACTTAAATACCTTAGGTAAATTGCATACTTTCTTTCTTTCCAGGCTTCATGGGTACAGGAGGGCAATTACAATTAATAGAAAATATACAGGATCATTATACACCCCCAACTTCCTTCCAGTAATATTCTGGACCCATTGAGAGTACTATGCTGCTCTATACAGTCAGATATAGCCAGCAATACGTTCATGGACAGCAGCTCCTGACCTGTAGCTGGAGAAGACCCATAGTTTTGGCAGTCAGTCAATACAGCAGCCACAATATTCAAGAAGCCCTCTAGGAAGTACAAGGTTTACTTTGTGGGGAGCTGAAAGAGCATAAGGTGATAATGTTTGGAACACATCTGGCTCATACAAGATGCTTACTAAAATGTCACGTTTCCCCCCCCCCCCCCATTCCACCCTTGCTCCCAAATCAAAAATCAAACCAAACCTCTGGTTTCTGAAAGTTACCAGTTACAGCCAGTATGGGGTTCCGGCCAGCTCCTTTGGTGCCTCTTGGTGGCATTTTGACCCTTTTATCACTGCTTATTCCTCAGACCTACACCCAGTTCCCACCGTAGTCGTATATCGGAGTTTCAGGTTTTGTTTTTGCATAGCTTCTGGGGCCGTAAGTTGCAACTCTTCCCTTACCAAACTAAAAACTTCTCTCCCAGTAAGGACTTTCTTACTCAGAGGTCAGAGAATGTGAAACAAGGGAGAGATGGAGCTGAATGAGTAGGGCTGGGCAGGGGTCTTGGAATTAAAAAAAAAAAAAAAAAATCCCTTTCAGGGAAACATGGCATAAAACCTGTGTCCATCCTAAGAGGCAAAAAGGGATTTAGTGAGGTCAGGGTATTGGAGGACACTGATGAACAAGGGTGTGGTGGGTGGTGCTTGTAGAGGGAAAGGAAGAAGCCTGAAACTGGAAAGGGCGTGGGGTAGGGGTAGGTGAGCTCCATCTTGGGAATTCAGAACAGGGTTTGGGGGAACCCAGAGGGGAGGACATAGGCTTAGAAGGGGTGGCTCACCTGGGAAAATGGGAAATGAAAAAATGTAGGCGTTCTCGCTTTCCCCTCCCACGCTGTCGGAGGACAGTCCCACAACCCAGACTCCCGAAAGCCCCCAGACGCAGGGGGCGGACCCCTCCCACGCGGCTCCGGGCCCTGGAGAGG